AAGTAAATTCACTAGCACGTCGAGGTCTTGTTTTGTGAAGCACAATGTAGCTAAACTGAGCTGGGAACTTAAAAATAGTGAATATGAGGATTAATGCTTAATCCTGTCTTTTTGATAATCTCAAGAGTCGTCAAAGTCTCGAGATTAATTATCTAGGTCAACAAAGGAGCTGAGTTTTTCCAACTAACTTAAATGTTCTAATTCCTATATCTCTGCATCCAGATGGTATAAACCTTGGAAATTTCAAACTTAGAATATTTGATCTAACAGAATTCATAATTTGAAATATCAAAGGTCGCCGAGATTGGATTAAAAAGATATAGCAATAGGAAAATCTGAGTTTGTGGCAAAAACTCATTTCCTTTGATTCTGGAATGCCAGATTTGTTCGTTTGCTTGACTCGAAGGGCCTTCACTTAATTTCTTACAAATTTATTCATTAGTACGTTAGTTAAAATTAGTTTTAAAAATCTGAAACATATTATTAACTATTTTTCATTACCGATTAATTTACAAAATGGCCGACAGTAAATTCTTTATTTGTTAGAAATTGCGGATTTCTCTCATTCAATAGAATTTATTTTCGATGCTGTCATTAGTCAATACAATTTACGAACTAAATTCTTGCACTCTCATCGGAGAAAACAACGTACGGATATCCAAAGAGAGAGAAAAAGAGTGGATTAAGGACTAAAATTAAATGTTTCCATTTATTCGGATTAAGCAGTTGGAATTAAAGGTTATACAAACTAAAGTTCCCAGCTCTGATAAATTGTATTTTGAATCTTTCAGATTGTCGCCATTCAAGTCTATATTTATACGCTTTTGGGTATAAGGATGTTTAACCATTTTCTCCCTCTTTACGCATCAGATCAGGAACAGAATTAGAACGGGATCAGCCCTGTCATTTTTCGTGAATATTCTCTTTGAGGGTATAAATGAGTTTTATTGGGCCTTTTACTCATTTAAGAATTCTTTTAAAATTTTAGGTTATTCGGAAAACAAGCCGGGGTTTGACAGTCTTTAAGAAATCTAAGAGAGCAATTGAGTCTTTGCCATAAAAAACTGATTTTCTGTTCCTTATATCTTTGAATGCCGAAGACCTTAGATATTTCAAAAAATGATAAAAGTTTGCACATCAGGTTAAAAGATGTTTCTGAAGCTAGCCAGTCAAAAGAAGTTTATTTTAAAAAAATTTGTAAACTTATTTTGAAAAACGGCAAAAATTATAAGTTTTTGAGAGATTTTTATTTTGATAAAAATGCCCATGGAGTCATGGTTGTGCTTCCATCAATCGTCTACTCCGCAAATTATCCTTTTATCTGCAGTATAGGTCAATTCAATATTATTCTTTTATCTGCAGTATAGGTCAATTCAATATTATCCTTTTATCTGCAGTATAGGTCAATTCAATATTATCCTTTTATCTGCAGTATAGGTCAATTCAATATTATCCTTTTATCTGCAGTATAGGACCGCCTTAGTTTGGTTTGGTTTGGTTTGGCTTGGTATGGTATGGTATGGTGAGAGAATGGGTTTAGTAAGATCAGCTGCTCTGGAGGAATGATGGTTGGAAAACATGGAGGAATATTTCTTCTGGGAATCCTTGCAATTCTCTGCAATATACAGGTAGAGAAATATAGCCTCCCTGGCTATATCATGACGCTTCGCACCCATCGTCTATTTCAAATGCGCAATGTATTAGCCTTTTCCTTGAAAAAAAACAATGAAAAATATTTAATTTTTTTGTGAATTTTAAAATTTTGCGAAAATACAAAATTGTTGGTGACAAAACTCTTAGAATTGATAAACCTTACCTGGGGATATCATGTGAGGTCCCACACAAATTTGGGCCGGATCGGTTCAGCCGTGTTGACGTTTATTGGATACAAACAAACAAACAAAATCAAGAATATGTTAGTTTTTAAGGTTCGTTTCGTTAACCGTATTTTCCGTTTTTTTAAGTTGTCGTTAGTTAACAACTATAATTTGTAAAACTAATGCCCTTTAAACCTTTATCTGAGGAACCACAAGGACGATATAGCCGTTTTTCTTTCTGGAAAAGTGTTGAAATGTTAAAGAAATTGTTGTGAATCGCACAACGTTAAAGTGAAATCCCCCCTCAATAAAGGTTAAATATTATTAATCAGTTTGATGAATGTGCGTGCTAGGAGATAAACTAATCTAATAAGATTATGCCACTGTATTTCAGTTTATATCCTAGGATTTCATCTTAGATCTATCTTTCTAAGACTAGGACACAGGAAAACACGAAATGAAAGTATGATAAGCTCAAGGGACTGTAAGCGTAATTTCAATGATTGTTTTCAATTGTGGACTCTCTCCAAAAGGGACTTACGCATTTCTACAGTAAGAAAATTAGATTCAGAATTTAACACATTTAAACCTAGAAAAACGCCAATATCTTCCACATCATTGATCAGATTAAGGTTTCAAGAGTACTATTGTGAATCGGGCATTGACATCTTCGCATGAAAGGTCACTTGAAATTACGCTGCAGTCCCCTTGAAATACAAATGAGTTAAAACTCATATATCAAAACTTGAACCCACAGTCATGGAGAAACTTTTCACTTGAATAACAAACTATGTCCAATCATAACTCAGGAACCCCCTTGACAAATTTGCCTGAAATTTATTATGTTCTTAGCTTGATCTAAAAGTTCTAAGTTGGTTAGGTTCTAGCTGGGTTCTCAAGCTAGTTTTATATTAATGGTTAATCTCTTATGAGAAAATCTAATTTGTATAGATTATCCTCCTATTTGAAAACTATCATGTATCAATCATCAAAATGTCAAGTTTATCAGTGCTTCAAAGGAACTGAGTTTTTTGTCACAAACTCAAATTGTCTAATCCCTATATCTTTACAATCTGATGATGTAAACCTTTGATATTTCAAACCTAGCTTATTTGGTCTAACAGAATTCATAGTTTGAAATATCAAAGGTCTACGAAATTGGGTAGCAAAGATATTGAGATTAGAAAAGAAGAGTTTGTGACAAAAACTCAGTTCCTTTATTTCTTCAACAGAGCTTTAATGAAAAGTTTATTAGACACACATAAAATTAAATGACAACCTCAAATACGAACCTTAAATCTTACAAAACTTTTGACTTAATTGCATCGTACCTCCATTTAAGTTTTATCCAGAGAAATGTAACATTTTTACGATTTCCTTTGTAATCTTTGTTGAGTAAATTTGCAACTCCATTTTTGAAGAGAAACCACATTTGGACATTATTTATTTCAAAATTGGAAAACATGATATTTAAATCATTTACAATTGTATCGTACAACTTATCTTTTTTATTTTTTTTATTTGAGATATTCTCTTATTATTAAATATATTATAGTAAGTCTACAGTACGTCTTGAATAGCCCGTGACAGTCTACAGTAGTCCTAAGAAGTGGTCTACAGTATGTCTTGAATAGCCCGGGACAGTCTACAGTAGTCCTAAGAAGAGGTCTACAGTAGTCTTAAATAGTCCGTGAAATTCTGTTGGGAATGGGAGCTGAGTCTCAACCAATTAGTAATCTAATGTATGTCGAAATTATTTACGTCACCAAATCTAAAAATAAAATGTAATAAGTCATAGTTGATAGGGAAAACCTTAGAGTATTAAAATATTCAGAAATCTAATGTATGTCGAAAGTATTTACGTCACCAAATCTAAAAATAAAATGTAATAAGTCATAGTTGGGAGGGAACATCTTAGAGTATTAAAATATTAAGAGGCATACCAGAGCAAAGTACATTTTGTATTTCATCCCTCGCACAATATTGATGTCAAGAAATGGTTTTATTAAAACAATGTTGCAAGATTTTTAAATATAAAAGGATCAATTGTTAAAATACAGTTAACGCTAAATGAGCCATACATCGAAAGAATTAACAAATGTCGTCTTTACAATTTTTCAATGGGTTTTATACTATTTTACCTAAAACTCAGTATTTGCGAAAATAAATAAATAGCCATGAATATGCGGGAACAGTTTTAAAGAGCTCCATATAATCATTTAATTAAAAAACTAAATATCATCAACATTCCATTATCAGAAAGTGAAGAATACGACGTTTGATGAATTCTTTTGATGTAGGGCCATTGGCTAATCTATAATTTAATTCAATTTAATTGATTGAATTAAATCAACCGTTAAAGTTTTTGTATTTTTTACCTTCTTTATGTAACAAATTGCTGACTAGCTAATCTATAGAAATATTAAACTCTAAGGGAAAAATCTAAAAATAAGCTGCACATTTCTCTGAATTACCTGATTAAGAAACCCCCTGAACTAAAAATAGATCTCATGAACACATCGTTAAATACTAAACAGAGCCTAAAACTTAAGACAGAGTATCGTTATAAAAACCAGTTTTGAAACCCGGGTTTCACGAAAGGGGTTAGTTAGTTTTGTAGATACAATATTTTTACATATCAATGCATAAAATTTTTAAAACTGATTAAATCCACGTTTAGATTTTTCAGGTTTTTTTCACGTCGAATTAAAGTAAATTTACTATCACGTCGAATTAAAGTAAATTCACTATCACGTCGAATTAAAGTAAATTCACTATCACGTCGAATTAAAGTATATTCACTATCACGTCGAATTAAAGTAAATTCACTATCACGTCACATTAAAGTATATTCACTATCACGTCGAATTAAAGTAAATTCACTATCACGTCGAATTAAAGCATATATTCACTATCACGTCGCATTAAAGTATATTCACTATCACGTCGAATTAAAGTAAATTCACTATCACTTCGAATTAAAGCATATATTCACTATCACGTCGAATTAAAGTATATATTCATGTAAAATTCAAACATCACATGTCACGTAAAGGAATTGATCGAGTCTTTGTCGCAAACTCTGACTGTCTGACCATCTTTGTAACTCGATGTCACAAACCTTAGATATTTGAAAATAAGATTTCTGATTGATTGAAAATTAATTTTAACAAAGGTTTGCAACATCTAATTGTCAGGGATTAGAAAAATTGAGTTTGTGGCAAAGACTCAATTCCATCTAGAGTTGTTAAAGTTAAAGCAACTCTAAAAGTAATTTTACCTGACCCTAGCTCCAAGCACAATTCACACCCATTTTTAAACCATTTTCATCTTTGCATTGTTTTGATTGAGTCGAGGGTAGTTAGTGGGGAGGAATAATAGGATGACAGTACATGCATTATACATACATTTTTATTATAAGTATTATTATTATTATAAAGATTTATTCACACACAAAAAGATATAAATACATATATAAATGGTGTAGTTTAAATTTGTTTAAATAAATTTTTGAAAATACAGGTTTCCAAAAGAAAAGAGAATAATATGCAAAATTATGCACAACAGAAAAGAATTCCATGCATAATGCAAATAGACAACATTGATCATTACTCATTACATAACATATTTATCATTCCAGTTATTACGTAATCAAAGAATCCTTCAACATATAAATTATTCATTCTTGCATTTAAAAGTTCTTGTAAAATGCATGGGCATGGTCCAATGGGACATCAAAATATTTCAATTGTTTCTTAACTAACGTTTTACTAAGATCCGAAGGATTTTCAGAACAATCATTTGCAATAGAAAATAAATTTAAGGTCATTTTTACATAAATTAGAAAGAAATCTAATGCAAAGCTTAGAACTTGCTTCATATTATGCCGTATATTACGTGTTTGAGAATAACTTCTATAGTGCTATAAAAAATATAGGGCAAAGGGAGGGAAGCGATTTAGGGAAGATAATGACAGGGGAAATACAATTTCCAAGCAAAGCTGGGTACCAACGTTAATATTTAAATAATTTCTATACCTAGAGGATAGATGCGCAAAAGATATTTTGCGCAAATTCTGAAGAAAATCTTTTTTTTTGCTTATTTATATAGTTTCTTTACCTAGAAAATAGATGGCGTTGCTCTAAAGACCCCTGGTGGTGAGCACCCGGAACTATCCAACACTATTTATATAATTTCTATACCTAGAGTATAGATGGCTCTGCTCTGAAGACCCCTGGTGGTGAGTACCCGGAACTATCCAACACTATTTACATAATTTCTATACCTAGAGTATAGATGGCTCTGCTCTGAAGACTCCTGGTGGCGAGGACACGGACATATCAAACAATATTGATACCGGGGTCTCACCATACTCTTCAATCAAAACAGAACAAAGGTAAGATCATGGTTTTTAAAATGGTTTAAATCTGTAGCAAATATCATAGTAAAATCCTATATTTGTAAACCTGAACTCACCAAGATATATTACGTGGTACTTTGTAACCTAGCTACGTCTGTAAATAAATATGTCAAACCTGCATTGTGATTAGCCTAATTATGCTTGTATATAATGATGCAAAACTTGTAATCACGTCCATTAACTTAACCTATATATACCATAGAAATCAAAATTAACTTTAGTTGGAATAATACTCAGCTTTGATTACAGTGTGAGAGTAATTGCTTCTTGTTTAGCAAAAGAGAAGCGTCCTGAATCTTTTACTTGAAAGATAGATATAGATTGGGAAAAACAGTGAGCTGTATCTTAAAACATAGATACCTGAGAATACAGAAGGATTCATGAATTGGTACTGTATTACAGAACGGAATAGTCCTATGCCTCGGTCATTAACAAGAGGGATTGAGTTGAAACATAAACTGTAATTTAAAGGTCTTACGCTTTCAAGCAAAAATCTATGAGAATTTTCCCAATTACTTCCCAAAAACCACAGCTAACGACAAGTGCTCCACAGTGCTAAAATGTACATGTAAAGGGCTACAGAAAAGCATAAGTGAGTTAGAGCGGTAAAATCTAAGCCCAAGGCGTTGCGATGCTTCAAAGTAGACCAAGTGCTAAACATTCATAAGCAGGCTGAATCTATGTAAATCTAGCTGAGAGTCAGCATGAGTTGTATCTTGAAACATAGAAACCTGGAGAATACAGAGCCATATCCGGATTGATATTGACCATGGTATTATTGATGAACCTTGAGTTCTAGATTGAGTTGTATCTTGTAAGACAGTTACCTGAGAAAACAGATAGAGTTGTATCCGGATTGATACTGACCAAGGTGTTATTGGAGAACCTGGAGTTCTAGATTAAGTTGTACCTGGATTGGTACTGACCTAAAAGTATCTATTGGAGAAGGGCATTTACTACAAATCTTGCAACCCGCTATTCTACATCTTGGTTCAGAAATCACCCTGCAAGAGCACTGCAAACACCAGAAATTGTCACTGGTATTTAAAAGACGACTTTCATATTAAAATTAAACCTTTTCTTTTTTTTTCAGTGACCCCCCCCCCCCCATTAATTTTTTGTAGATTTGGTCAACTTCTAAATAAGAAAGAAATATAATGTTAATATTTGGTAGATTTTTTCAACTTCTTAACAAAATAAAAGAAATATAATGTTAATATTTTATATATTTTTTCAACTTCTTAACAAAATAAAAGAAATATAATGTTAATATTTGGTAGATTTTTTCAACTTCTTAACAAAATAAAAGAAATATAATGTTAATATTTTATATATTTTTTCAACTTCTTAACAAAATAAAAGAAACTTAATGTTAATATTTGGTAGATGTTTTCAACTTCTTAACAAAAAAAAATATAATGTTAATGTTTGGTAGATTTAGTCAACTTTTGAAGAAGAAGAAGAAATATAAGATTAATACTTGGTAGATTTCAATTCAATCTTTTCATTCTTTTACTTTTTTGGTTTTTTGTTTTTTTTGGTTTAGATGCAAAAAGCTTCTCAATAGCATTTCAGGGAAAAAAATCCAAAACACGCAAAATATCTTTCTTAATTAACTTCATCTGTGACAGGTTAAAAATCAAGTTTTTTTGTGTTCAGTTGTTAATTTTGACCCTTTTTCAGTTTTTCAGGTGGAAACAAATTTGCATGCGCTCCCCTTTATCATCTAAATCTCCTTTTTCTAACATCCTACTGCGGGCCTCAGTATAATATTAATATTTGATGGGTTTAGTCAACTTCTGAAGAAGAAGAAGAAGTACAATGTTTGGTCTGGCAAGATGAAGAATACTGAGTTCCAAACCGCAAAACCAAAGAAAGGTTCGTGGGCATAATATTCGTCTTCTATCAAGTCTTTCTTTCTTAATTTCCTTAAAGGAAGTGTAGACGTAATGTCCAGTGACCTCCTATTTGTAGATTGGAACATCCGATTCACAGCAGTACCCTTTAAAACTTTTACTGATAAACGATGTCTATCTTATCCTTTTTTATCCCCAGAAACAAATGTTGTTGATTCAAATTCGAATTTTTGATAAATTTTCGGGAATTTCGAGACACATTTTTAAAGTAAGTCAGCTGCGTTTATTTTACACTGGATATGCTAACGTACACTGCAGTTTGTAAAAAATTTAGAGATAAACACACGGATGTCTCTGTCGTCGATAATCAGTCAAAGGTTTAAATAGGGCCGTTGTAAATTGGGCATGCCGGGTCCCTTTAAATTACCTGAACACTCCCTTAAAAAAAGTGACGCAAACAGGAAATTGCGTGATAAATGTTGTGGAAAATTATCTTCTCTTTGATTATGAAAAGAAACCAAATATATCGTAGAGTAGAAATCATATTCATTCATTATTTTCAATAATTTGAACCAGCCATATTTTCATTTTCTTTTTTAGGATCTTAACCTTAATGGACCTAAAAGTTTAAGTTGAAATTTAGAATCAGAGCTGGGAATTTTTTAATGTTGGATATCGGGATTAAAGCTTAATCGACTCTTTTTCCTAATCTCGAGATTAAATAACGCTTGTTCTCCTCTTGTTATTAATCTCCAGATTAATTAAGCGGTCGGCATTAAGGATATCTCATTCTAAAGTTTTCAGCTCAGGTTAACAATTTTATTTCTTCGGAATTTCTTTTTTTAAATTTAAGAATTGAAAATAATTTTTTTTTCAATCCTTTCGCTTTGTTTCCAATGTGAATTAAACAGTTGTAAACTGTCATGCAAATACTTTGAATTTTAGATTGCGTGCACTCAATTTTTCTCTACCTTTTTAAAAAGTTTAAATTCTCAAAATGTCGTGGTTATTTACACTTTGATTAATATACAGGGTTACTCACAAACATATTTGTTAAAAGTTTTGGCTCTTTTTTTCAAAATAGTGTAAATGTTTAAAAATTGTTTATTTATTTTCTTACACTATACCAAGATTTGTCACTACCAGAAAGTACATGCAAAACAACGAATCAAAAACGACCGCGTAAAATTTTCGCTTTTTTGGTTTCCATTTTTTTTTGGAGACGATAAAAATTATTTAGGGTTTTTGCTGAAAATGTATAAGCTTTTATAATTAAATATGTCCCGGAGTTTTAACACTTGAAAAATAAAAATGTCTGCTTAGTGCCTCACTACCCTCAATTACTATAAAAATCAAGGCTTAAAATTTTTAAAAGGAAAAACGAAAAACTAAACCACTTAAAAAAATTTTAAATGCAAATTCAAAAATCTCAATCATCCTTTTTTGGGACACCCTGTATCTAAATATTTGTTTTATTTAGGACCACGGACGACCACTACGAAGCACAAGGTAATTTTGAAGAACTATTTTAAAGGAAATCTAACCATAATTTTAAGAATTGTCAGAAATTAAATACTTTTAAATGACGATAAATCCCACAGTATTGATTTCATAAAAACTTCATATTGTACTGTTGTGAATCGGGCATTGCCACCTTTGCATGGAAGGCCACTTGAAATTACGCTTACAGTCCCTTTAAGATTCTTTATTTCTTCTATTTTAAAGAATGAAATATGATTTTTCTAATTTAATTAATTAAAAATAAAAACTCAGTTTATGGTTTCCAAATTTTTTGATGACAGGCATTAAAATTACCCGTATAGTATCATGCTTTTACTCTGTGTCATTAAATTTTCTTTTAATTTTAAATTTAATTTTTTAATCTAATTTTTTTTAAATAGTTTATGATGGTTGAAAATTTTATCTTTTGTTACTTTTGTCAGAGATAAAAATGATGGAGATATTATTTATTATTATTGGATGACGGATCGTAATTTCAAGTGATCCTATAGCTCCATTTTAAAGAAGTGACACACACTTTCCACAACGTTAAACCTTGACACCTTGATAAACAATATTGTGGAAGATAACGCGGTTAATTACCTTGATAAAAACTATATTGTGGAAGATAACGTGGTTAATTACCTTGATAAAAACAATAGTGTGGAATATAACGTGGTTAATTACCTTGATAAAACAATATTGTGGAAGATAACGTGGTTAATTACCTTGATAAAACAATATTGTGGATAATAAAGTGGTTAATTTCCTTGATAAAAACAATATTGTGGAAGATAACGTGGTTAATTACCTTGATAAAAACAATATTGTGGAAGATAACGTGGTTAATTACCTTGATAAAAACAATATTGTGAAAGATAACGTGGTTAATTACCTTGATAAAAACAATATTGTGGAAGATAAAGTGGTTAATTACCTTGATAAAAAACAATATTGTGGAAGATAACGTGGTTAATTACCTTGATAAAAACAATATTGTGGAAGATAACGTGGTTAATTACCTTGATAAAAACAATATTGTGAAAGATAACGCGGTTAATTACCTTGATAAGTGGTTAATCTGTTAGAAAACCCCAAAGTTTAATGATCGAAATAATCCCAAATTTTTTTGAAATCACTAAGTTTTTGTTCAAAATCCTAAATTTTTTTAAGAAATCGTTAACATTTTGTCCAAAATACTGAACATTTTGTTAAAAATTCTGAACATTTTGTTCAAAATCCTGAACATCTGTTTAAAATCCCGAGCATTTTGTTTGTAATCCCGATTTTGTTCAAATTACGAATATTTTCTTGAATTCCCGAACATTTTGTTTAAAGTTACGACCATTTTGTTCAAAATCCGGAATTTTTTTTTGAAATTTCGGACACTAACATAAATTCGAATTCCCAAAAATGTTTTCAGTCTAATTATGTAGGATTTGAAGCTGCAGCATCTTGACTTCGTGGAAACAGATCTTCAGGGTCGAGATCTTCAAACAAAATACAAAAATAAAAAACACGTTATCAAGGTACAGTGGTCCGCGATTACATCAATACAATGAGGACGATTTTTTATTTATAAAGCTTTAATAACTTAAACTGATTAAATATTTAAGTGTTTCTTGGTAGAAATCAAAATTGAAATAGAAAGTCTTCTTCTATGTGTCGGTATATTCTATGACGACTGTAGAATTTATAAAAAAAAATTCAATGATAAATGGAAGAAATTTGAAGTGACAATTGATGTCTGTTCACAACCTTTGCCTAAGAAAAGATTTAGGAAATATCTTTGTTTTACTTCCTGACTTTGATATGAAATCTTTAATTACAAAAGTATTAAAATTTCATTCTTAAGAAGACTTTGAATGAAGTTGTAGTAATAATAGTGTAACACGTGTCACATTAAAATTTTTGCGAATTTTTTCTTTTATTTTTACCTTTTTAAATGTCTTTTTCAACAAATTTTGAAAACGCTCTTTAGCACCCATCATAACCATTAAATGACCATTTAAAAAAAGTTAGAATCAGAAAACTTTGAAAAAGGAAGGCGACTCCTCTTAGACTCAATAGTCCATTGAACATGAGTGTAAACAGACCCATTTAGTTTAATGAGGGATAATATGTAACTAGTGATTAAATCTATTTGTTTTGTATCGACATCAAATACACCTTAGGATTGCTTCAATGTCGTCTTCCTATTCCACAGTTTACTGGTTCTTTCTGTATAAGAAATAAAAAATAAAAACTTCTGAAAACGCTCAAAACTCTTTTAAAGGCCAAGAAAGGAGACATGAAAGACAAGAAGGAGAAAATGAAAGAAAAGTTGGAGAGGAAGGAGAAGAAGGAGAAGAAGGAGAAGAAGAAAATGTTAAAAAAGATCGCAAAGCAAAACAAGATCAAGAAGAATTTGTCTGTAAAACCTTAAAAAAAAAACAATGAGAGCCAAAATAATTGCTGCATTTATTTCATGAACGTGCTTTGTTTATATTTTGTGCCTCAAAATTATAAAAGAATAAAAAAGTGTTAAATAAATTCATTAATCATAATCATTAACACATGGGGAATTAAAATAATTTAAAAAATCTTGTCTTCTCTACATTATATTTCAAGAGTTTTGGGTCGTTATTAAAACGCATTCTCTATATGTGACACTAGGTTTAAAAGTCGGCCCAAAAGACCGCCCGAGAGTACGTACGTAGATAAATTGGTTGACCTGATATGGTCACTTTTTTAATCTGAATTAATCTGAGAGTATACAGAGCGTCCCATATCATATTAGATTATCTCCAATCTTTAACGCCAAATTACGCACATAATACTCGAAAATCTAGCATTTTCTACAAACAAATTTTTTAATAGCCTTATTAAACTTTTCAAATGATTCATTCTTCTTAAATTTTCTGATTTGTCCCCCAAATCGTAATTTAGACCCATAAACGCGATCTAATTTGATGTGGGACACTCTGTAGTTAAATTGGTTGAGCTGATATGGTCACTTTTTTAATCTGAATTAAAAAATGAGACATATCGAGGAAGACGACTTTACTCAGCACCGCTACACGATTCTTAAAGAATTAAAACTGCTTGTAATGTTAATTACAGGGTTGACCTGTAAAAAAGACCTGAATTTCAAAAAAATATTAAGCATCAGGTTAATTAAAGACTTCCGCCCTAAATAATGTCTAATAGTGACTTTATATGTTGATAATGCAGAGGAATTAGAGTTAAAGGAATCTCAAAGTAAAGAAAACAACCAATATGAATTCGGGGCAGACCGCCCAAAACTAAGTCTCCTTCCGGGACAATGTGGGGCATTGTCCATGGATACGCTCGGTGGACAGGAGCGCCGGCCCCAACTTCACTGAACAGTTGTCATTTAATAATAATAATAATAGTCCAGAAGTCCTATCCTTTATGGGTAGCCATGTACGTGAAAACTTCGTAATAATTGTATAACAGCTACAGCTATAAATCATGTAAATGAGTCTTCTTTTGCTTTTTGAAATTGTGAATAAAAAACAAGATCTTCAACAGATTTCAAAGTAGGGTTTCCAGTGGACGAAAACTTTCGCGAAAAAATGTTAAAACCTTCGTTCGAATTTCGCAAAAATTAATTCAGCGATAACGGCGAAAACGATGCAAAATTTCGCGAAAATTGTTTTTTTTTGCGAAATAACTAGCAAGTTAGATTGTCGGCGGCCCAACCTGCAATTAAGATAGTTTTTTTCCCCTTATATTATATTTTTATTTGTTAAGTTCTCCAAAGTGGTCATAAAAATACATAAATGTAAATTTATGTCCAATATACATGGCTACCTGGTATGTTTTCTGTTTAATTAAATACTTAAGATCCGCAACTAAGCTAGTCTAGAAGGATTAAAATTAAACCTTAAGTCATAACTTTAGAGTTGTGAATCTACGGATCCAGTATTGATCTCCATTCTCTATAATATGCAGGCCTACGGATACATTTTATTCCTATTCGATATCCCGTGGTGGTCATACCCTGCAGGCAGCACTTTGATTCAAGCATTAAGCATTTGTCGTTAAATTTAAAAGTGTTCAAGATAAACGAACTTTGTGTTCTTTTTTTCCTGGGCACTTTTATTTTGAGGATAAATGCTTGATCCCTCAATTAAAGTTATCTTTGCATTGTATGACCACCATGGGACAACAATCCGTAGATCTGAATAATATATAGATCAATGCTTGATCCCGAGATTCACAATTCATCAGTTCATACTTCAGGTAAAATAAACCCCCGAACTAATGGCATTTGCTAATAATACCAAGGAGATATTGAATAGAAGGAGGGAGCGATAGGGTTTCCGTACACTTTGCTGTGACCTTTTTGGACTGCTGAAGAACTAGTTTTTGCGTAACAACAATTATAACAATAACACAAATAATAAACAGACATCTAGGGGGGGGGGGCAGGATAACCTTGAATTTGATTGAAAATGTCTCTGTAATAAGGTCCTTTTCGTATAAAACTAAAATCCTTAACTTTTAAATCATTTTTAACAAGATAGTACTACTTTCACAGTTTACTAACTCATGTTTGTTTACATTAGATCGGCTGCCTTTGTTATTGTTGTTACGCAAAAACTAGTTCTTCAGCAGTCCAAAAACGTCACAGCAAAGTATACGGAAACCCTATCGCCCCCTCCTTCTATTCAATATCTCCTTGAATAATAAATACTATCTTTTTAAGTCCAAAACGTAAAAATTATTTAAATTTATTACAAAAATAATATCAAGAACTGGATGTAACAGGTTTGAGCGTATAAAGATAAATTCTATTTTTAACTGATGAGTCTCTCCACCATCTACCCAATCTATGCTCCTGTCCTACTCCTGCTACAATCCGTCCTCCACCCTCTCCTACATCGAGGCTGTTCACAAACCCAGGACACTAAGATATTTTAGAAAATAATTATCAACTTTATTTTTCGTCTGTTCTTTAGGTTTAAAGGAAACCGTTGTGAATTGTTCAAAGCTAAATTCAACCAGTGCAGTGCAGTGTTCGGGGAAAAAAAATTAGTCTGAACAAAATATGGCGAGAGATATTTTATTCATATATTAAGGGAACTTTAGTCGTAACTTCAAGGGAATCTTTATTTATAAATTGACAGAAAAAGATTATCAAGTACAATAGATGGCATCGTAGAATGTGTACACTCACAGTACAACTGTATTCTTACGTCACAAGTGTCCAACAAAATTAATAATTATGGTGATTAAAATGCTTATCTTACAATAAAATAAGTGCAATTTTGTGTTCTTTATTTTTATGTTTTTTACACCTTTTTATTTAATCTTCTAGGAAAATATGTCATATAATGGGAGAAATGATGGTTTCCTTGTTATTTTTGACACTTACGCCGTCATGTATAATTGGTGATTTTTCTGTTGCCACATATTGTACTTGAATCTTTTTGGAGTGACCTGTAAATTTAAAAACTGTATTTTGAAACCTTTATCTGATATATAATAAGGAAGACGTTGTTTATAACTACAGTAAAAATTATTAAAATTTGACAATTTCCTCCATTGTCTGAAGCATAAATCTACAAGTAACTTTCACAAAGAAACCACGATTGAAAAAAATAAATTTTTTAGCTAAAAAAACAAGGATATCTCTGTCTTCCCTCTCCATAAATCGGACAAAGGTTAAAGGTACTGGTTGAGAATCGGACATCCTGCCACTGAAAGGACGTAAACAGTCTCTTAATTTCAGTAATTACAACACTAGTATTGCTTAGGATCCGGATCCACACGATACGAACACAAACTATCAATCAAAACCTGCTAAAAAATAACTTTTTTCTCACAAATCAAAAACCTCAACTGATGACTTATCGAGTTTCATAAAGTTTCAGCATAAAAAAGTCAATAAAAATAACATCTGTTGTTCATCTGTTAGATCTGGATCCGAATCCATTTTTTTTTCAGGACGGATCCAACATGAGTACCCGCATTAAAATGAAACGGATCCTCAACACAGAAAAGACGTAAGATGAATAGAGAGCACTAACCTGTATTGTCCCAACAGGTATAATAGTTTTGAATCCCTCGCCTATACTCCAGATTCTGATAAATCCGTCCCTGCTCCCGGTCAGCACCATGTCTGAGTTGTGCAAGGTGGAGAGGGAGCTAACCCAGTTTGGTTCTCCGTTCACAGGATCCGTCCCGTGACACCGCTCAACCTGAGTCATTATTCTAATAATCATCATTACGGAATACAGATGGCACAGCTTTCAAGAAAATTCTATCATTCATGAATTAATACAGTTTTTTTACCCCCGCCCACACCCCAAAAAAATGTTCCGAAAACTAGTTCCAGCAGAATGGTAAATTCGTGTGTCACCCTAGTAAACACCTTTATCTAAACAATGTTGATCAGATTTTTTATCTTCGTGTCACCCTAGTTAACACTTTTATCTAATGTTGATCATATTTTTTATCATCTAGTTTCTACCTTGAATAGTGTTTCAATTTAATTGTAATACTTAAACCCTCATTGTTAATCTCAACAGAAATCCGCAAGTCGAGTTTTTGAAAAATTAAATTTCAAAAAGAGACGCGTGGATAGCTCATTCCTTTTTTTAGCAGATGAAGCTTTTAAACTTACCGTTGTGAACAGAATAATAATCCGTTTAACCAGAAAATTAAGTTCAATATTAGTCCATTTAACCAAAAAAACTAACTTCAATAATAGTCCATTTAACCAGAAAATTAAGTTCACTAATAGTCCCTTTAACCAGAAAATTAAGTTCAATAATAGTCTCTTTAACCAGAAAATTAAGTTCAATAATAGTCCCTTTAACCAGAAAATTAAGTTCACTAATAGTCCCTTTAACCAGAAAATTAAGTTCAATAATAGTCTCCCTTTAACCAGAAAATTAAGTTCAATAATAGTCCCTTTAACCAGAAAATTAAGTTCAATATTAGACCCTTTAACCAGAAAATTAAGTTCAATAATAGTCCCTTTACCAGAAAATTAAGTTCAATAATAGTCCTTTTAACCAGAAAATTAAGTTTAATAATAGTTCCTTTAACCACAAAATTAAGTTCAATAATAATCCCTTTAACCAGAAAATTAAGTTCAATAATAGTCCATTTAACCAGAAAACTAGTTTACCATAGCTAGGGGTTTCTTCCTCATAGCTCCCCAAACCGCTAGATGTCCGTCCTCTCCAGCTGTCACCCAGTGTTCCTCGTTCAACAATTTCACAAGGTCCACGGAGCTTCCAGGCGCGTTGAACACCAGCTGGGACTCTTCTACAATCTTCCACACGCGCACAGTCCGGTCACGACCTCCTACCGTGATCGCACGCTCCCTGCTGCCCGCGTCAATGCCGAGAACGTGGTCTTGGTGACCGAATAGTGTTTCAATGTAACATTTTTCATCAACAGACCATATTTTCACTGACCTTAAAAAGTAAATATACAATTAGTTTTGGGAATATATGAGTCATCTTCGAGGATTTTTTTTCGGGTTTCAGAAAAAAATGAAGTTTCACTGAAACTAGTTAAATACCGCTTTTAATAACATTAACCCAAAACTAATTTCATACATTCATTAAATCATTTTTAACAAAGACATTGTGACCCTAGTAATACTAATTGGCGCTTAAAAATTTAAAGAATCTAGTTTCTTTTTGTATATTAAATACTAACCGATCATGACTGGATGAATAAAGGGTATGTGTTCCTGTTCTGAAAGCTAATCCTGATATTTCTCCTCTGTGCCCTGAAGAAATAAAATATTTTAAAATGGTTTCAAATGTGATTAGAATTGTCAACCATTGAGAAATAAACCATATATAAAACTACAAAATTCGGGGGATGATTTTTGATGCATTGGAAAAAACATGCATAATTGGAAATCAAACGTCAAGTTGTTTTTTCTTCCGTTTCAATGTATTGGTTTTCCCCTATAAATTGGTAATTTCCCCGTTAAACCTAAAAACACATTAAAAACTAACTACAGCGTATAATAAAGAAATTTGCGAGCAAATTTTTTTTTGAGATTAATTAGTTTAAAAAAACCTTTCTTAGTAAGTATACATTGAAAAAACTCCCCCCCTCCCCTAGAACTAAAAACAAGATGTGGTTTTCACTGCGCTCTCGATTCACCTGAAGATAGAGCCTGGCCAACCTCAATTTCTTCTCCTCAGCAGTCTCCTTGTCCTCTTCACTCTCATATCCAACATCATCACGAGCCTCAATATCACTTCCCTCACTGTCTATCTCCTCGTCACGGAACTAGACAAATAAACAAACTAATAAACAAATCAATCAATCAATCAACCAATCAATCAATCAGTTAAAAACAATTTAGGGATATATATATTTTCATGAACCACTTCCCCTCTGAAGGGGGGCAATGTTTGGATTAGACTCATTGGACAACAAAAGGCAACTTTTTCATTTTTTTCGACATTTTCCCCAATAAAATATTCAATTTTCCCTTATTCAGCAGACAATTAAATCAAATAATATTGAACAAAGATTGAATGAATTCATAAGGTGATATTTCAACAATTTTAACGAGATATTTCAACAATTTTGAATATTTAAAGATGAAGTAAAATTTGTGTACAATATTATTTTTTCAAAGAAGATTGGTCAGGATTAATTACTCCTCCCCAGATCTTTTACAAAATCAAATATGTAAGAATTTCTGGGGAATTATTTATCATTTTTCTGACAATGTGAATAATTACAAAAAATAATGTGAATTTAATTAGTCTGCAAACCTTCTTAGATCCCTTTCCCTTTCCTTCTTGCGGTGCTCTTCTCTTTTTCCCCGCTTGTGCTACTTTATTACCACCCGTACCTCCTTTTCGGATGAAAAACGACATTATATCTAAAAATAAAATGATTATAATCATTTCCTTAAGTTATAGAAAAGTTATCTTCTAGTAATGCGATTATAACATTTCATGGTAAGATATGGAACATCTGATTTAGTCCTAGAAAATGTAGAAAAACCTATAATGGGAATCAGCCGACACCGGACTTTTTTTGCCATTGCCACCAAACCATTACCCAATGTTTTTTAAAAAATTTGGCTGCGGGGCCATTTATGCCTTTTAAATGTATCATTTTAGGGATTATTATGAACTGCAATTGGGGTGTAACAGAAAATCATTGAATGGATCTAATTATGTATCCAAATCTCTTCCAACTCTAAATACAAACTCTTGATGGCACGAATGTTTTAGGCGAATTATATTGAGATCAGAGCTGAAAACTTTAGAATAATGGATATCAAGATTAATGCTTGAACTCCTGGATTTACAAAACCCGAGATTATTTTAATTCGCATTCAAGAAAGAAGTATAAAATTCAACCAATCAGCGTATCATGTTAAGATGTACTCTTTGACTTTTGAAAAATCGTTTTTTTTTTCTGGTGTTAATTGTATCATATCAATTGAACTAGACATCGATAAAATAAATGTAAGTTTTGGATTAATGTTTGTTAAGACTCGTTTAAATAATGATAGTCCTAAAATGTGATAAAATATATTTTTTAATAGGTTCATATTAACATGATTAAATTTATATTTGCTTAAATGCTCTAAAAGCCGGCTTGTGCACAGCTGATTTTAATTCAATCTGATATTAGTTCAATCGATATGGCATTGTATCTGTAATTGTTATCAAACGTAACTTTTATTCAGTAGGGATATCCAAAAAAAGAGGATTAAGAATAAAATCAAAAGTGTGCACATTGGATACTCAGATTAAGCGTTCAGGATTAAGGATCTCATTCTGAAGTTTTCAGCTCAGATTACATAATCATAATAAGATCGGAATCGCAAATCGGAAAATCGGAATTTTATTTAAAGAACCTGGAACAAAATAGTTGGAATCGACTTTTATGATTATAAATTTTTTAATTTGTTTTCCAATTTAAAGATGTTTGTTTAGCTATCTGATGATATTGTTGTATTGCAACCAAATATATAATGGCAAAAATGACATACAAAGTTGTTTATGAACTCATTAAAAAATATGATATACCATCAGATTCTTCTAGATCAATAATTGAAATTGACAATTCTTCATAAATTACTCAAATTTAAAGAAGATAATTGTGTTCTGAACAATTTTGTGAATACTGAGATCTCAACCATGATCAACTTTTTATGTACCCATTAATAACTATATATAAAAACTTTTTTCGTTTATGTTTTGCTCATTATATTGTAACATTTATTTTATTAAATGAAATAAATGTATAATAATAATTATAAAACGTTGAAATAAATGACTACTATTAGACTCACGTTATGATTTTGAAAAGTGTAATTAACATAAAATACGGCAATTATTCAGTTTTCACGAACCTATTTCTCCGAATAAGCTGAATATTCAAGCTACTGCTAAATAACTTTGTTTTATGATAACTAAAAAAAAAACAAAAAAAGGCTACTTAAATGTCGTCTTCCTATTCCACAGTTAATGGGTCTGACTCTCACCTTTAAAGATATGACTTCTTATCATATTATCACAGGTCCAGATATAAATATTTTTGCTTGTGTCCCCGCTAGCCAGGTAAACATTGTCCGAAGTGACCGCCAGGCTGGTTATTGTGTTACAGTGACCTTGCGTCTTATTCTCTTCTCCTTTCTTCCCGCCTGGGACCTTAAACTCCTTCCGACCAGAGGGGAGGGACCACTTGACCAGACCCTTGTCCTTCGAGGCCGTGTAGAGGTGGTCTCCCGTCTTGGAGAGGACAAGAGAGGTTATGGATAGTTTATGATTCTTATCCTGGAGATGTGCAGATTCCACCTACAACATAACATATTTATATCAATTGATAAAATAAATCATAAGAGGAAAAACCGCGGTTCATAATAATATCTGACGGGAAACTTTATTTTTTTTTATGTAAACCATGAATTCTTAATCCGGGTGTCACAGAAAATCTTCACAAGGATGCATAAATTAGTGAGAAAATAGTTCTAGTGGCATTTTTTGAATCGAAATTTCGAAGAACGGAAATTTCAGAGATTTCGACGATTAATCTTCTTACAGGGGTTTAACAAATTCTTTCCCCTCCCCCCTGGGGGGGTGGAAAGAAATCAAAGACCCAAGAGGAGGGCAAGGGAAGGAAAAAGGGAAGGGAAAGGGGAAAAAGGGCAAGGAAAAGTGAAAAGAAAAGAGGAAAAATCAGAGTTTTTCATAAATATTTTTCCCCAATAGTTATAATGCAGCAAAAAACACATAAAATTTTTTCTCGCTCTGAGCACAACATCAACTAATTAAGAGAATTCTCATTACTCAATAATTTTTCAAAATAGTCAAACGTACTTAAAAATTTCACGAATTCTCCCCCAAAGAAAATGATGGGAAATGAATTCCAAGAAACAATATAATCCTGGAGTTGGACTCACAAATAATCAATCCAGACTTTTTTTGCCATTGCCACCAAACCATTACCCAATGTTTTTTAAAAAATTTGGTTGCGGTGCCATTTATGCCTTTTAAATGTATCATTTTAGGGATTATTATGAACTGCAATAAAATGATGTATTTTCAGTTATTGAAGGAAATCAAAAAAAATTGGGGGGGGGGGGGAATAAAAAATTGAAATTATTTACAACCCTGTTTTCTTACATTGTAAAAAACAGTGTTTTGTAATGAAGAAAGAAATTTTTTCGGAAAATAGAAATAATAATCCATGAAAAATCTTCCCAATAAAATGTCCTTTCTATAAAATGTCCTTTCTATGAAATGTCCTGTCTATGAAATGTCCTGTCAAATAAAATATCCTGTCAAATAAAAAGTCCTGTCAAATAAAATGTCCTGTCTATCAAATGTCCTGTCTATCAAATGTCCTGTCTATCAAATGTCCTGTCTTTCAAATGTCTTGTCTATCAAATGTCCTGTCTATCAAATGTCCTGTCTATCAAATGTCCTGTCTATCAAATGTCCTGTCTATCAAATGTCTTGTCTATCAAATGTCCTGTCTATCAAATGTCCTATCTATCAAATGTTCTGTCTATCAAATGTCCTGTTTATCAAATGTCCTGTCTATGAAATGTTCTGTCTATGAACCCCCGGAAAAAGACGGTTGATTAAAGAAATCAGTGTTGGTACCTCTGTAAAGTTTAGTGTTGAGGTCACTTCTCTTCTGAGTTTCCCACGGTCAGCTTCCACATCCTCCCTCAACCTCTCCTTCACCCCGTCCTCCAATCTCCGGACGCCGTCCTCGTCCTTCTCCTCCTCCTCATCTCCGCCCTTCTCCCGCTCATCCAACTCGTTTTGTATCTCCTAAACAACAAATAATTCTTTAAAAAAAGAGCAGGTTTTAGAAGCACTTTTATTGCTTCTCGATATAATTACATCAGTGCTTAGGATTCATCTAATTCATTCATAAATATTCAAATTTTGAAATGTCGTAAATTTGTTTAGCTTCAAACTTGGCATTAAGATAGTAAATTTTAAAACATTCAGATTGTAAAGCTTAACATATTTAGATTGTTGATTGTAAACTTTAAAACATTTAGATTGTAAAGCTTAACAAATATAGATTGTAGATTGTAAATTTTGAAACATTTAGATTGTAAAGCTTAACAAATCCTGACCCTGAGCAAATTTAAGAGCTCTGATTGTACAATAAAAATAAAAAATAATTGAACGTTAGTTTATTGAGCTTATAGTTAAATCGATATTCTGTAGTACAACTATTAAATTAATCCTACATGTTTACCGAAAATATTGTGTGATGTGTCATATTAAAAAAAAATAGTTTTCAAGTAAAATCATGATTTTTGAGTATAATGCACATTTTCTTGCCCCCCTCTCGGGGCAAAGGAAATTTTTAGCGCGAGATATTTCCCTCTTGCCTCCCCCTAAAAAAAGGTCTAGTTGCGCGCCTGGGGGGGAGGGGGATGTCAACCTAGGGTCACGGCAAACTCACAGGTTCCCAGATGCCCTTCACCCGGGTTCGCTTACATCGAGAACAAAACCTTGGAGGAAACTACAGGTGACCCTAGGCGTGTATAAAATGCGAATTGAGAGCAGAAAGCTCTGATAGGAGAAATTCACCAGGGACATCCCTAGCAATTCTCTTTAATTTATTAATTAAAACCTCAGGTACACCTTTTTTATGTAAAAAGATTGTTGCACTTTTCTAGTACCCCCTCCCCCCCCCCTCC